CACTCACTCCACTCACTCCACTCACTCCACTCACTCCACTCACTCCACTCACTCCACTCACTCCACTCACTCCACTCACTCCACTCACTCCACTCACTCCACTCACTCCACTCACTCACACTCACTCACACTCACTCACACTCACTCACACTCACTCACACTCACTCACACTCACTCACACTCACTCACACTCACTCACACTCACTCTCACTCTCACTCACTCACTCACTCACTCACTCACTCACCCACCCACGCACGCACGCACTCACGCACTCACTCACTCACTCACTCACTCACTGACTCACTCACTCACTTGGTGCTCTGCAAGGGGTCGGATGTACGCCCTGGCGTCCCTTGGTCTCCGCTGCTCTGCCGGTGGCTTTTGTAAGGCAGGGGCAGCACTTGGTGCTCTGCAAGGGGTCGGATGTACGCCCTGGCGTCCCTTGGTCTCCGCTGCTCTGCCGGTGGCTTTTGCGTGGCAGGCGCAGCACTTGGTGCTCTGCAAGGGGTCCGATGTACGCTCTGGCGTCCCTTGGTCTCCGGTGGCTTTTGCGTGGCAGGCGCAGCACTTGGTGCTCTGCAAGGGGTCGGATGTACGCCCTGGCGTCCCTTGGTCTCCGCTGCTCTGCCGGTGGCTTTTGCGTGGCAGGCGCAGCACTTGGTGCTCTGCAAGGGGTCGGATGTACGCTCTGAAGTCCCTTGGTCTCCGGTGGCTTTTGCGTGGCAGGCGCGGCACTTGGTGCTCTGCAAGGGGTCGGATGTACGCCCTGGCGTCCCTTGGTCTCCGCTGCTCTGCCGGTGGCTTTTGCGTGGCAGGCGCAGCACTTGGTGCTCTGCAAGGGGTCGGATGTACGCCCTGGCGTTTCTTGGTCTCCGCTGCTCTGCCGGTGGCTTTTGCGTGGCAGGCGCAGCACTTGGTGCTCCGCAAGGGGTCGGATGTACGCCCTGGCGTCCCTTGGTCTCCGCTGCTCTGCCGCTGGCTTTTGTGTGGCAGGCGCAGCACTTGGTGCTCTGCAAGGGGTCGGATGTACGCCCTGGCGTCCCTTGGTCTCCGCTACTCTGCCGGTGGCTTTTGCGTGGCACATGCAGCACTTGGTGCTCTGCAAGGGGTTTTGCGTGGCAGGCGCGGCACTTGGTGCTCCGCAAGGGGTCGGATGTACGCCCTGGCGTCCCTTGGTCTCCGCTGCTCTGCCGCTGGCTTTTTGTGTGGCAGGCGCAGCACTTGGTGCTGTGCAAGGGGGTCGGATGTACGCTCTGG